CTCTCTCTCTCTCTCTCTCTCTCTCTCTCTATCAGTTATCATCTAAATTTTAAATACTATTTACAAATACAAAAAAGTAAGAGTGAGATTAAATATAAGTACTGTATAAATATTATTTTAATACATATAAATATTTTTGAAATAATTTTATTTTTAACTCATTTACAATAAAAAAAAGTTGTAAACAAGGTTTTATCAATTAAATGATGTATTGATATGTAATAAATACAAATTTCATTTTAATTTGTTATAATCAGATGCATATATCCAGGTAGATTTAAATAAACTATACGGTACAAAAATACTGTATATAACAAATCATAGAATAAAATATAGATTCAGTGTAATACATGTACAATATATAATTATCAATTAATTAATAATTTTAATTCAAATAAAAAATTCAAAAACAAAATTCATTTAAAATAGAATAAACATACGGTAGTACAGTATTGTATCAAAAATTTTGTACTACCGTAACATTAATTACAAATTAATTGAGAAATTGGCGACATATTAGTTAGATAACTAAAATTACCTAGACAATAATAAACAAATAAATTCTTAACTATTCTTTTAAAGAAATACTATGAAAACTACAAACTTATAAAACAAATATAATAACATAATGAGCCCTAAGTATGAATTAATTTATGCTTATTTAGCGCCATTATACTAATCCCTTTCCACTCGCAGTGTTCGCATTCATAACCCGGAAGGTTATGGTCTTTACTAATGTGTAGCCGTAGTCTGGCTTTCGTATGGAAGCTCTTATAACAGAGAGTGCAGTCAAAGCCCAGGGAATAACTCTTGGGTGTGGGACGTGCTGCCTGTCCACTAAATATGGGAAATAACGGCATTGCACTACCGGTGCCCATAGTATTCGCACTTAATAACTCATTATAAGCGGTCATAAAGTTAAACGTCGGCTGGTTTTCCAATTGGGAACTGTTTTGAGTGTCGATGCCATCGAAATTCATGTCAAACCCAATGAACTCCTCATTGTTTGGCTCTTGTTTTATATTAACTGTCAAATCAAATCAAAATATCAATCAAATCACTGTTCAAACAACAATCAATATAACAAACAATACCTGTGTTTGTGTTGAACGGAGTTTGTGCTAAATTCTGATACCATTCCGCTAACGCCATTCCCATACCTATCAAAAACAAAAAAAGTATTAAAAACTTTAATTCATTTCCAAATGCGAGTCAAAAGTACTGGAATTGTCGCCATAAAACGGTGTGTCCGTCGCATTCGTGTCCATAAACGACATATTTGTGTCCGGATCAGTGGCACCGGTAGTCTGTTCAGGGAGTTTAAGCATCGGATAGTTGTGGAACTTTCTCATGTGTCCCTTGCGTTGGCTCTTTGAATAGCCCGTCCACTCGCACTGTTCGCACTGAAAGGCTGCTATCTTATGAATGTCACCCAAATGTTTACGCAGACATAACTCAGTGGAACAACTAATGCCACAGTCGTGGCACCGGTAGTCTGTGGGCGACTCCTTATATTGCTCTATCGGCGCCATTACATTGCATTTCGTAGGTTTTGGTACGGGTTTGTCAACAGGCAGGCGCCGTTGTTTCTTCCGGTGTTTCTTCATTGAATGCACTTCTAGTCTATGTTTGTGTAGACTTTTAAAGTATTTGAATGTTTTTAGGCACCCTTTGACCCCACATTTCTTGACCTTTTGAGGCGATTGTTTAGTCTTAACGATGGCAGTGCTAGTAGTAGTAGTGGTGGTGGTGGTGGTGGTGGTGGTTGGGGTGGACCCTAAATTCTGGTTATTCTCCAGATTCTTATGCTGCTTTAGAATGTGAGTGTTGCGGGACCTCTGGTCACAACCCCTCCATTCGCACGAATCGCACGCAAACACTGGGTTTTTGTGGATATTTCCCAAATGCTTGCGAAGGCATAACTCCGTCGGAAAACTGAGTT